AATATGAGCTTCTTAATTTGTAAAGAGGTTATTGACTAAAGAGATAAACTTTTTGTCAAAGTTTATTTTTTCTAAAACTAGCTCTAGAAACTCGTAGCTTATACAATTGAATACTTTCTATTAATCCAAAAAAAGTATTTAATATTGCTTAGTATTGTTTTATTAATTTCTTAGAGTTGTTATATTATCTATTATTACATCTGATATTGATCTGTTTTTTATAAAGCCTTGTTGTTGTAGAAAGATTACTTCTTGACATATTGTATTTAGTCTATTTGCTAAAATTTTTATAAAAATTTTAGCATCACTATTTACTAAAGAAATTGGTCTCTAATTGTTTAGATTTTCTAAATCTAAAGATTTTTTTAAGATAAGTATAATTAGGTTTTTATATTAGAATTTAGGCAAAAGATCTGAAAGTAGCACTTAATTAAAAAGATTATATAATAGAGGTGTGACTACTTCCTCTGTAAGCTTATAGAACTTATAAGTAAGACTATCAGAGCTAGGTAATTTGTTATTTAGAATACTTCTGATCATATTTTTTATTTCTTCAAGAGAGATTTCTTGTGTTAGCAAAGAGTTCTGTAGACCTGTAACTTGTAGAGCTTCTTTAATAATTTCATTAGAAGTAACTAAATTAATCTCTTCTTTTTTGTAGATTTTTGAGTATTTTTCTATTATATAAGAAAGAGTACTATTCTTGTTCTGAGCTATATTTGAGGGATCTTTAATTTTACTAAGAGCTAAGTGAGATTTCCTAGATTTATATTTTGAAAAAAAATATTTTGTCAATTTTTCTCCTTGCTCTATCTATTTTGTTTTAGAGTAAAGTTGCTAATTTTCTGCTAAAAGAGTAAGTTCTTCTTGCAGTTTGGAGTTAAGATTGTCTGCTTGAGTAGAAAGATATCTATTCATAGAATTTTTAGCAAGTTTTTTGTTTATCTGAATAATTTGTTTGTTTAGTATTGATATTTTGCTTTTTGAAGGTTTTAGTTTTTTGAAAGCTTTAATAATTAATTTGATATATATTTTGCATAAATCTCAATTATTTATATTCTTATTTTCTTATATTTTTTCTATTTATGTTTAATATAAACTTTAATGTACATTCTATAAGAAGATAGTTAAAGATGCCATATTTAGTATTAGTTTTCTAAATAGAGTAGGTATAGTTTTTATCTATAAAAATATAGTCTAAGTGAGTTTTTATCATTTTATTTCTTTTTGTTTTCTGAAAAAATATATAGAATAGTTTGTTAGTTGCAAATTCTGAAGAGTCAATAAAGTTTTTTATAAGATCTTTAAGCAAAGCTTTCATTAAATTATTCTGTAGTAAAAACTTACTAATTCTATCATATTTAGGATATATATTAGTATTAAAGTTCTATGTAATAATGTTTATCATATTTTCTTTTGTTTAAGAGAACTAATTGCTAAAAAAAATTAATCATTCACTTTGATCAGAAGATGCATAGACATTTGTAAGCTAGAAAGTTAAATCTTTATAGCTAAAGTTTATAATCATAACTCTACTATTTGCTTCTATTTTGAGTTTTAGAAAGTTAAATTTTTGTTACTTGCTAATATAGCTGTTTTGTTTAACTATATTGAGTAAAAGTCCATTGTTGTTGTAGAAAAGTTTGTATATTTTTGTTGTTAAGATTTGTTTCTAGAAGTATTATGATATCTAGATTATAAGACTTAAGGAGTATAAAAGTATTTCTTAGTTTCTGTTGATTGTTCAGTCTTTTAACATTTAGAGTTCTAATTTTTATCTTTAGCTTTTTAAGCATAAGAGTTGATTTGAAATAAGATTCTAGATCTGGATGTTTTGGCTCTTATTATGAGTTTATTTTTTGTAAGAAGCTATCCTCATCTCTTTTTGTTTTTGTGCAGCTACTTTCTTTTTGTCTTTTTTTTTTTTGTTTATAGCAATTATATATTCTTCTTCTGAATGATCAAGTTCTTGTAGTTTCTGATTATTGTTTTCAATAATAGCAATAGGAGAGATTACCTTTTATACTATTTCTATATTAAAAGTAGTATCATCTGTCATGTTTGTATCTTCAGTAGTTAGAGTTTTATTCTCTGTTCCTTTTGATATACTAGCTTGAGTATTGTTACTCTTATTTGTTCTAGAGATATCCTGTTGCTCTTATATAGGACAGTTTTTAGGATACTCATTTATATACCTTTTTTGAGTTGAAAACGAAAAAGCTAATATAGTTTTCTCTTCTAAAAAGTTTGAGATAGGTTCTGAAGTTTTTTCTTTATTCTTATTACTTTAGTACTCCTTAAAATAGCAATGAAGTACTAAGGCTTCTTAGTATTGTTTGCAATCTCTTTTGACATGACCTTCTTTATTACAAAAAAAGCAAACCTTAAGAGCTGATTTCTATTTTGTAGTAATTTTGTTTTCTAGCAGAATATAAAAATAAGGAATTCTTTTTTTCAAGTTTGAGTTATTTGTAGTATCAAAAATTATAACCCATTATTCATTAAGTAAGGATTTTGACTAGAAAAAAGGATCTTCTATTATCTGTAGGAATAGAGCTAAGATATGTTTTGTTAAAGATATTTACTTCTTTAACTACATACTCTTATAATTTTTTTTTATTAGCAAAGATAATTTCTAAGTGAATATGAGTTCCTTTTTAATATGTAGTTTTACTACAACTATATTAATTCTTATATTATCATAGAGAGATATCATGATATCATTAGAGAGTAGTTTTTTAAACTGTTGATATTTAGTACTAAGATATTATCATTTTTGGATCTGATAGTACTTCTCAGAGAATAAGAAGTAAAAGTAAATTGATCCTTTTTAACCTTAGCAAATAGGCTAGACCAGGATTTTTTGGTTTTCTTAAAAACTCAAAGTATTTGCAAGTATTTCAAGATAAGATTTGTTTGTTAGCATGATATATATATTTGTTATTTTAGTTATATTAGTATTGTTTTGTATAATATCAAGTGTTTTTTCATCTGTTATTTTGTTTTTCTTATTCTTGTTTTTTTCTACTTCTTAGGAAATATTAGTTTTTTCTTTTTTAAACTCTTAGCTTACTTGTTTATCTCTGTTAGAGGAGTTGGCTAGTAGTTTTTTTTGTTTAGAATTGTTGTTACTCATAGCTTTTTTGCTAGTACTTGTAGTGGAGTAAAGTTTTTTTTATTGCTATTACTAGCTTGTGAGTTTTTAAAGAGCATAATTTTTTTGTTTCTTATATTTTCTAAATATTAGAGTTTATATTTTTTTGAACTAGAGCTAAAGCCCAAGTTCTGTTAAAAAAAATAGTTTTAGTTTCTTTAGTATTAGGTATTTTGTAAAAAGTTTTTTACTCTCAAATCAAACTTTATGTAATTAGAAGAGAGTGTATATAGATCAAGTCTGAATATTTAAATTAACTATTTAGTTTATAAATATTTAGCATTCTTAATACATATCTTTAATCCTTATTAAAAAAAATAAAAAATCTAAATATATAATATAGTACAAATTACTAGTAATATTAAATATACTAAGAATGGAGTTTGTACTATATATAATATAGTGTATAGTTTACAGACAAGTTAATATGTATATACAATTCTCAGTATTTGATTAGTCCTTGTGACTATGTTTATAATTTATTGTTATATATTGCTTATTTTTTGTATACTATTTTATACCTTATATCTATTTATACATATGAATATACATTATATCCTAATATTTAATGTGATTAGTATTATATAATAAATGAAAACAAAACTCAAGACTACAATAATTTACAGATATAATAATAAATGATAGTAAATGAATGATTTTTTAGCATAAATACTAGTTGCCTAATGTGAATTTTTATAATATTGAAATAATAATTACTAATCATCAAAGATTTAACTTTTTCTATTTTTTTTTCAATTGCTAAATAAGCTAATTATTATTACATAGAAATTTTTATATAGTGTATTGATTTTCTGCATTTTTAGTTAGTTTGTTCTAGTTTTGTGTATAAGATTGATAGCTAAAGTTTTCTTATTATTCCTAAAAAAGAAATTTTTATATTTCACTTTTATAGTATCCTAGATACAATTCTTAGATACAATACTAATACTATTTGATGATTTAATATAGATCCAAATTAAATTCTAAGTATTGTTTAAATCTACTAGAATAAATTCTTTGCTTAAATTTTAATTAAAATATGCAAAAAGTATCTTTTATTGCTTTTTTATATACTTTATTCTAAGTTAAAATAGTATTTATTTTTTGTTTTTTTATGATTTGTTTTTTTTTACATATTTTTTTTGCTGATCAGATAATTGATAATTACTGATTAACAACAACCTTAATAAAAGGTTAGTTGCTAAAGAATTTAATAATTACTTTTAAATTTGTATTAGATTTTGATCAATATATATAGATTTAAATATAGATATATTAAAATATATATATGATTTCTTTGTATAAGTTACAATATTAAGATAAAAAGAAAGTATTTTCTTAGTACTGTTTTAAGTACTTGTTCTAAATTTTGAAGCAATTTGTATTGAATTTTTTATGTTTTGATTTTTTTTTGCAATTTTTTTTCTGAATATTAATATTAATTAATAAAATTAAAATTATGAATATAAATACTTATTTGTGAATATATTTTTTTTTTAACTTAGGCGATCTTGCCCTTCATTTATTAAGAGAAAACATACATGATGTTATAACAAAAATAAA